AAGCACACGCCTGGTAAAAACAAAATTCCAAAAACCTAAATCACCTCCTGTGCACCGGTAGACCATAAACAATGGGGGGGGGGGGGGTATTTTTTCTTTTTATCATTTACTAGAGAACAATCCCAAGTGATCCACTGTGTTTGCCAAGAAGTCTTAAGTCACGGGCCGTTTTTCCAGTTAAATTACTTCGACAAGTGGGCAGCAATGAGCAATTAAAAATCAATTGATCTAAAATTTTTTTTAAAAACCTATTACCATTACAAACCAATATTAATTGAAGAGAAGTTCGTCATTCATAACTGACAAGCGAGTACAATCCATTTTTTTTTGTGTTCAAACATTTGAATTTCTCATATAAAAAAGTATCAATAAGCACGAATAGAACCAGTGATGCATTTGCATGAAATAATGAGAATTTTAATGAAAAAAAACCATTGAATTATCATCATTATGATCATTGGTTTAATGGAAAACATAGTCAATTGATCTTTTCTCAATCACATCGTTCGCTCACAATAAGATACAATGTATTATAATGATACCACTGAAGTCTTTATGCACGCATGTGTATTAATATTTTTCGTCATTGAGCAACTGTTATCATTTCAAAAATGTGGCTGTGGGTGGTAAGAAGACGTGCCCGCAACCAGATCCACATTCAAGATGTAATATACTTTTTAAGGTAAACGAAAGTTTTATAATTCCCTATTATGTTTTAGTGTGTTAAAATGAAAGCATTGCCTCCCTCGGGCCAATCTAGGGTTATCGGGAATCCGCTTTCATTTGACCGAAGCAATTTCATGTTTGACCCTAACAATAGTGAATGAATAGTTTCCTTGAATCTGATTGATTGGTACAAAAAACTATCAGCTAAGCAGATTTTAGAAGAGTTTTTTCCTCGATTGTTAGTGTAACGACAAACTTGATGAGTAGCTTGCCGCTACCCTCGACAATGATGTTCATTGAGCTACTTCACCTACAGGACTACGACGAGTTAACTTGGATATCGGTGTTCGTTAGGCTGTTCGTGAAGAGTTTCTTAGGCTTTGAATGAGGATGATTGTTGCATTCGATGAGGCTTTAAGTCGCGATGGGTGTGAGGGTGAGTGTTTGTGTGGTTGAGGCTTTGATTGGAAGCGGCTGTTCTTCTATGATGCGTGGTATTCAAAGCAACAGCTGTGTTTGAAACGCGCACACTTTCGTCAGAACTCGATATCGAATATTATGTTTTACGGTTCCATACTACGGTAGCTTTGAGACGCGTGAATGCGACGCGTTTCAGTGATATTTTGTGACCGATTTGTTTATTTTTCTTTGAGTATTGTTGCATTTTGGGCGCTTGTCCGATGAGGTCCATTGAAGTTACTATCTATTTCTTCCATTTCGAGATATCGAGAGAATATCATCGGTTCCGGTACGAAGGTTTTCCGGTTGGGAATACTGCTTTCATGTTCGTGGTTTTTCTCGGAAAGATTCTGCAGGAAAGGCGCGGTAGTCACCGGATATGACCATTTCTCTGGTCAGAATCAATGAATCGAGACTGGTTCGTGTCGCTTTTTTAATGAGTTCCTCTGAGATTCGTGTGAATGTGGATGTATTCGTTGAGCTTTTCAGTTGCAGAAAATGTTCGTGAGATGTCGGTTGCGGGCACGATGATTTTCGGCCGAAATAGACCAGAAAATTGTCTGTTTGCGGCGGGTTTCGGTTGAATCCAGGCACCAAAATCATCGATCTTAGGCATGCTCGTTTTTTTCAGAACTATGGCCATTATGGAGCATCTTGGTATAGAGTACATTATTTAAAGATAGCATCACTGACTATTAAAATGACTATCTGTATTTTTACTAATGACTTAACATTATAAAAAAAAGAATATGTTGTTTATTAACTTTTTCTTCTGCCATCTTATATTTAAAGTTTCTGAAGTCTTTTTCAGAGTAGTTAAAAGTATTGAACTTGTCATCGTTTTTCTGCTCATAAAAATAAAAAATTTTCAAAAATACTTTAGTACATTCTATTACGCTCTTTCAAATAGTAACATAGTCTCTCTGCTACAGTCTTAACATATTTAGAGTTTTTTGCGATGGAAACAGAATTTACTCGAACCAAGGTCAATTTTTGACGGGATGAACTTTAACATGATCATCTCTTTTTTCTTTCTTCTAGGTACATTTGGTCGATTTGAAATAGAAATTATTCGATAAAAAGAACATTCTAAAGTAATGAGTACTCAGGTACATATATTTAATCAACAAATTCAATCGAAATGTTCAATATTTGTATGAACTTGATTATCGATGTATTATTCTTGTTCATGATATTTATGATATATTAAATGCTATTTATAGTATGCTTGAGTTAGTTGAACATGAAGAATTATATGATCATATTGCGACTAATGGTCAATTAGTTGAATTAACAACTAAATTTTATTATTAACAAATGTGTTTTCGTGTAAACTATGTGCATCATAATTCAATAACATGTCGTAATTTAAAACCAGATAATGTTATTTTAACATCATCAAAGACGAATAATGCAACATTATTAAAAACATTTTATAGTACACCAAATTATCTTGGTTAAAAATAAACCTAAATTTTAAAAAGTAGTATTTATTGAATATTTTTTTGGGTATTTCTTTTTAGCTCTAGAAGTTTTACGTGTAATTTTATATATTTGTTTTGGTAAGGAAATCTTTCGGTCTCATTTCTTTATTATCTAATATACTAATCGTTTAAATCCAAAGAGTAATTAAAATAGGGAAGAAAAGTCTCTATGCTTTCAGATTCCAGGAGACATGATGGAAATAGTGACAGCGCTGACGTTAGGTTTAGATTTGCTTTTTAATTGTATCATGAGAAAGAACACAAAATCATGAGTAAAATCAGACGTTGCCGCAGTTTTTTACAATCTTCTCGTATGAAATTACAAACATTACAATAATGTTAAATGTATCCAAAAATCATTAAAACAAATGCATTTTCATAGTTTATTTTTGCTGATGTCCAAAAAACTTTTCCACATAATTTAACAGTAAAATCTTCATCCATAGTGCATTTGATATACTTACGTAGAACTTCATTATAGGCACTTGGTATGAGAGATGATACTTTTGATTTTTGTATAACTCATTCAATGTTTCATTTTTTTCAGTTGTTTATCCATAGTTTAGTATATCTGTTAGTGGAACTCCATTCAATGATCAAATTATAAAGTCTTTATATACAATCTGTTAAAGATTTTGTTCTTATAATAAATGAAGCGCTCAAACATCTGTAGTTAGCTGCTGATCATGACCATATTGCACATGTTGATAAAATAATGTGTCCATCACATCATTAAGTAATTTGAACACCTCCCACTATTAAGAATGATCGACATTTTTCATGTAACGATGATGATCATGATAGTTCAACAAGAAAATTTGTGTTCTCTGACCTAATATTAAATATGTTTTTCTATCATCGAGTACATATTGTTTCTATATGTCTTTATTTATTGTTTGCACTGTATTATTTTTATCAATAAATATTTATTTATTAAAAATAGTTAAATTCATATTTCATTAATGTAACAAAACATGAATAAAATCTGTAGAGTGTGGGTATACATTTTTCTTGAAATTCAAACCCCAAAACCTTAAGTTTATAATTATCCTAGAAACCCTATGAATCGGAACACAATTTGAGAGATAGAACCGAAAATATTGCTAATAATCTAGAAAAGCAATCATCAAATAATGATCATGTAAGTTTTTTTAAAACTTTTCAAAACAAAAATAAACTAAGTTTTCTGCAAAGTTTTCACTTAATAAGCGGAGAAATTACATGTGGAAAAATTATTTAAAAAAAGAAATTTTTAAAAGAAAACTATTTTAAAATTTTCATTCTTTTTTAATTAATCTTTATTCTATGTAGTAGCTCGTATGCATGAGTTACTACCTAACAAGAAGGAGATGTTCTTTTTTTATCTTTTCTTTAGTTCGATCATTGTTCGTTTGATTGGATATTCAGCGCACGATATACAAGTTGTCGTTGCACATTCGAGATGAAAAACAAACAATTGAACATACGGTATATGTAAAAACGACAAAGATGTCGCGCGCTCGATTTTTACCGATATCGACACGTCGATCGTTCTCGTGCACTGCGTATCATATATCCGTGATATTGATGTTGGCGTCGTCTTTCTTCGCGTCTGTTTCCTTTATCTCTTCTTCCTTCCGATTCTTCATCTTCTTCTTGTTCTCCGTAACAGAAGAACAAACATTTTTCTGCACCAGGAGCTTTGAGCGGCTGTAAAATAAATTAATGCCGCCAAGAATATCTGACGTTCTGTGGGTAATCCGTACAAGAATCCCCATGGATGGCCTTCAGTACATATATATCCATCAATATATATATATATATGGCTAAAGCGTCCATCTCGTCAAAATCTCTCTTTTGAGATGAGGTTGACCTTGATTGTAGTAGCCATACATACGTAGGTGTATGTTTGCCTAAGCATTGCTGACATTGTTCATTGCATGAACCAGTAGAATACGGAAGGTATCGCTGGTGGCACGTGCCTGAATCTTTGCTACTGCTACGGTTTGACGATTAACAAATCGAAAACATCAGTTTATTTTTGTCGTTTAAAAAAAAAAGAGCAAACTACATTTTCTTTTTTACAAGTTTGATGTTATTTTTCACTTGTACAATCTGTGGATGTGTTGGATGCAGTAGTTTTTCGAACATCTCACGTGTTCTTTCAAGAAATGCAAGCGCTTTTGAGTATCGGCCCATGTTATAATATACCAAGCCGATGTTATTATAGGAACTAGCCAAGTCAGGATGATTAGAAGAGAGAGCTCTTTTCCGGATTTCAAGTGATTGTTCGTACGATGAAAGTGCTTTCGAGTTCTCGCCTATGCTGTAATACACCATACCGATGTTGTTGTAAAAAGCAGCCAAGTTGGGATGGTTAGGAGGAAGAGTTATTTTCCAAATTTTAAGTGATCGTTCATACGATGAAAGGGCTTTTGAGTATTCGCACATGTTATAATACACCGAACCGATGTTGTTGTAGGAACCAGCCAAGTCGGGATGATTCGGAGGGAGAGCTTTTTTTCTGATTTCAAGTGATCGTTCGTAAGAAGAAAGTGCTTTCGAATACTCGTCCATGTTATAATACATCAAACCGATGTTGTTATAGGAACCAGCCAAATTGGGATGGTTCGGAGGAAGAGTTATTTTCTGGATTTCAAGTGATCGTTCGTATGATGAAAGTGCTTTCGAGTATTCGCCCATGTTATAATACGCATTACCGATGTTGTTGTAGTCAGAACCCAAGTCGGGATGATTTGAAGGCAGAGCTTTCTGGTCGACATCAAGTGCTTTTTCGTAATATGAAAGTGCTTTCGAGTGCTCGCCCATGTTATCATACACCAAACCGATGTTGCTATAGGAACCAGCCAAGTCGGGATGATTCGGAGGGAGAGCGTTTTTTTTTATTTCAAGTGATCGTTCGTACGATGTAAGTGCTTTCGAGTACTCGCCCATCTTATCACAGACCAAGGCGATACCTTCGTAGGAAGAAGCCAAGTCGATATGATTCGGAGGGAGAGCTATTTTCTGGAATTCAAGTGATCGTTCGTACGATGAAAGTGCTTTCGAGTACTCCCCTATTGCAGAATACACCGAACCGATGTTGCTGTAGGTAGTAGCCAAGTCGGGATGATTCGAAGGGAGACTTTTTTGTCTGATATTAAGTGCTTTTTGATAAAACTCTAGGGCCTCATCGTACTTTCCTTGGTGACTTTTGAGAACTCCAAGATTATTAAAGCATTTGTCTATATCCGTTTCCGGCGCTTCTTGAAGTAGCATCGTGTACAATTGTTCCGCTTTATCATCCTCACCGAGCTTCCATAACAACAAACCCATTCGCGACCATCCTGTACCAGTGATCTCGTCTCGCATTCGTTTGGAAAGAGCATTGAACTGTTTGTCGTCATTTTCACTGATGAGTGTAAGTTTCACTTGCCAAAAAATCATTCCGGTATGGTCAATTTCTTGAATTTTCTCAACGTGAAAAACTGTGTTCATTGAAAAGAGAATTTCCTTTTCTGTCTTGAAATAACTAAATGCGTAGATTCGTGCAAATGGAGCTGATGAAATTGATCGATTGATAGTCATTTTGAAGAGAACTCGAATTGTGTCCTTCTCAGGAAGTCCTTTCGAAATAAAGCGAATGGCTACTTTTCGATCGTCGCTTGTTGATAAGAAACTATTGAACGAAATGAGCCCACCTTGTTTGATTTTATTTTCAAAATCTTCCTTGACCATGGTTTGACCGCGGTAGACTGTAATTGCTGTTGTTTCACTATGAATTTCATTCGATTGCTCCGAATGAAGTTTTTGGATGTTTTGATGAAGATCTCGAATAAAGATGCCCATTTTGAGCAGGGTCTCGACTTGTAGAGTACGAAGTGCTTTGTTAAGCATTTGGTAGATGAAACATTCTCTAGTGTACCACCAAAGAGGCTTGTTGTTTCCGTTCAAAAGATATCGGTAGTCGTGAGCAAATTCATCGATAATTTTCAAGTGTCTATCATTGCCGGCATATTTCTCACGGGCGTATTCGACTAAGTCATTGATTGCTTTGTTTTCATCGAAATTAATTTCCAGAATAATTTCTTTGAAAATTTGTGTATACATAAAGGATGGTTCGATTCGACTAAATGATGGCGGTATAGCACTAATTACGATTGAATCTTCGTCAAATTGCCGAGCCGATTCTCGAACTGAATCACAAATTGGAGTGATTTCGATGAAAATACCTTTAACTTTAGTCCAGTCTTTTATCCATTCTTCATACTTGTCTTGTTTCTGACAAAAAATATAAATTGAATATAGTTGTGGCATGTTATGAATGAGTGGCACAATTGTTTGGCATAAAGTACCAGAAATAATGAGAAATGACTTTTCGTTTTGAAGTTCTGAAATATAATCGATACATTCATCTGTATCACGAAATATTTCAATAGTATTGACTATTTCTCGTAGTTGTTTGATAGAGTTGAGATAGTCGTCGCTGGATTCATCGATTTTTGCGTCAAGCCAAATCAAAAGAAAATTTTGAACAATATTATTTGCATCAGCGCGATGATCCCGTTTCGGGACGCAATTTGAGTCTTCCGATTTCCGATTTAACGTATTGGATGATGATGGATGATTATTACTGAGAGAGTTCGGTACTGTTGATGATGCACCGCCATTCATATTCTTTGATTGATTGTACATAATGCGAACAAATTATATATATTATTATGTATGTATGAGTCGTCAATCTGAAATGACAAATGAATGAATGGGTGTTATTCAACGACAAACGGTTTTTATTCCAATGAAAATCTTCTTTGACAATGGTTTTTCTTTCTCAGTTATCAATATATGGTTTTTATTGATACTCAAGCAGGTGGACTGGCTTCAAAAGAAAAGCGGTGGATGTCGGTGTAAGTGTGAGCATTGTTTTCACCCAATATCCACAATCCAGATCATACAATCCATTATAATGATAGTGAAAGAGTAAGACAATGTTTTTATGAAGAAATACAGTTTTGAATAAGGTGCATCAATCCGAAAAACGGAATCGGTACAACTGAATTTTGAGCAAAGGTCTGCTAAATCAATACGTTTTGTATCTTTCGTGTGGTAAGTGAGTGTTGCCTTCTTTTTATCCACTTCCACACTGTAAGTAATAAAACGAATAGTCATCATTGTGTGTCAATAAATTAGAGCAAAGAACAAATGAATTGTTGTGAGAGGCAGAAGATGTGAAGGAATCTGTTCGTCGTCTTGGACGAGTTTGTTTCTTCCTTTTGTTGATACTTTTTTTTTGGCCGGTTGTTATGCGGGTGTATTTGGTTTGTTACTGAAAAATTTCTTATTTTTCGTTTCAAGAGCGCAGAAGATATGAGTCTGTATCAAATAGCAACAACGAAACGAATGCACCGTCATCGAAAGAAAGAGAAGAATCGAAAAATCGATATAGAGTGAATGTTGTTCTTATTGTTATCAGGCTTTTTTCCAACGTAATTATAGGATGGACTGCTAGAGGTCACATGTATCAGATTGATAACATATGAAAAATAAACAAAAAATCATTTCTTTTTTAGACATTTTTTTTACCAAGAGAGAACGATTGATTAATTTTAAGACTTTTGCTTCATCTTATCATTAATCGACTCACTATTTTATTTACGGATATCATACTATTGAAATTAATTCGACGAATAAAAGATTTTTAATGATGTATAATGGGTGAGATGAATGGTAGATGATTTTAAACAGCAGACAGATTTGTTCAATCTCACTTTGAAATAATCTTTATGAAACAAACATGTATGTATGCAAATTTCGTGAGAATTTTATTCATTGATTATAAATAGATAGATGTTGGAGAAAAGTTAATAAATATTTGTAAAAAAAAAATTTAATAATTGTTTATGATCGATCTTTGAAGAAGGCATTTTTGTTCTTCTTTATTATTGAATAATGAAAAATAACAAATGACATTAAAAGATATATAAATTTGAAAGAAGCAAAATATTTATGTTATTGAATATCTAATTATTTCAAAATCTGATAAATCAAACTTGTCTTGCAGTAAAACAAAAAATTATCGATCGAAATCGGAATACTTTTTTACTTTGAAATCTTATTCATAAGTATTATAAACATAAGGTCGAGTTCTATTGTTGTAGTTAGATTGAACAAGATCTTGTATGATTCTTGCAAGATCATATTGAAATCATATATGATTTTATAAAAATCTTTATATGCCAATCTTAAAACCAACATTTCTGCTAAAGTCATACTATGCTATGCTTGCATGATGTTAATATAAGATCTTATACAACAATTCAAATATATGATTTTCCAAAGTTTCCTACAATATTGCATATCTGATTTTCTTTTTTTGGCTTCTAATCATCTTATTTTTTGAAGAAAGTCTTTTATTTTTATTCTCATATGTATATTTCTTTATAGAAAAATTATAAGAATTAAAATGACAACATCGATATACACTTAAAAAAAAAGAAAACTATTAATTTTTTTGTTCAATTCAATGGTGTGGTTGAAATAGTCTAAACTAAAAAGCATAAATAAATTAGAATAAAAAACTTGCTTCCGTTGAATTCGATCGTTAAAATGAATTCAAATAATAAAATAAACAATTTAAATAGGAGAAAATCTACTGCTATTTAATCAAATTCATTTAGTTATCTATGACTTGATTTTTCTATCAGATCAGCACCATCACATAGATATATTTCCAATACTAAAAAATTAGTGTCTAAAATTAGAACAGGATGTGGGCGTTGCTGTAAATGTGGCGTTAGTTTCATGGACCTTCGCACTCGTAGCCACAGCCGTACCTACATTCTCCCTTATACCCAAAACAAGTCATAAAGCCACGAAAAATTTCTCAATTCATCAATAAGATTAATTTTTAATGACACAAGATGTTATAAAATAATTAAATTCGGAAGATGTGATTTTACAATATTATATAGAATTCTATAGAGAAGAAGAAATTTGAGACGATTGAATGACACATTAATCATACGTAATGAAAAAGAAATGGCATGTGTATATATGTATCATGTATAGGAAATGAAATAATTCGATGTCGACATGATATGATAAATTTTAATTGCTAATGATTAAAAAAGAATGAGGCGTTTAAAATAGTGTATTAAGATATGAAAATAATTATATCAAAAATATTACAATCATCAAATTCACAAAAAATTCAAATAAAACTAAATACATGTATTATTTACTTATTCATTCTTATCAAATGTTAAAACTAAAACAATGGAAAAAAAGTTTTTTTTCTTCAATTAGAATTGTTTTAATTCTAAATAAAATTACTTGCTAGCTATAGTTAAAACAACGTTTTCATGTAAATACAATAAAACCTATTAAATAGGTGCGAAAATAAAATAAGATGTTGATGATCTCTCAGTTACTTTCTGATTCAGTCGAACTTAATTCATTAGAATCATAAGTTATCAATTTCGAATTGAATCATAATGAATTTTAATCTAAAGAAGAATATTTTCACGGAGCTAGTTAGTTGTACAATGTTGATGTCGGTGTGGATAGAGCAAGAAACTATATCTACACACTGACACCCATACCCATATTCTAAGACTTACATCTATACCCACCCACTCATCCACACATTTTGTGATCGAAGAAGATTGAAAACATGAAAAAATATTTTTAATAGGCTTTATTGTTGAATTTTTCATAATATTGTTTTTAATAAATGTTACTTTACTTGCAGCACTTGATAGAAAATGAAAAATAAAGCAAGCATCTTTATTAATCAGATTTACATTAGTTGTTAATATTCTTGGGGTATATGTCGAGGAATTTCTTGTGATAAATAAAAGTTAATTGGTATTGTAGAGATTCGTACACCAATGTAACTATGAATCGAACTTCTTGTTTAGGTCTTGCAACCGTTACTAATAAATAGACGCATTATTATGTATAGAACTTTTACTTAGTTCTAAAGTGGCCGATGTTATCTAATAGAAGTTCATTTTATTTTAATTATGAACAATGAAAATTCTTCAAGAATACTATTATTTCTAAAATCTGTTTAGACTTATTTATAGAACGAATTTCGTTTACAGTAAACTAAACAATTCTTTTTTTTTTGTTGTAAATCTTAAAAACTATCCTTCTTATTTATAAACATACAGAAGAAATCTCATGTTCACTCGGTATATTATTTTAATTCAATACTAATCGATGAAATAAGCCTTTCAAACTGAATTGTTCTTTTTATGTAATAAAATTCATTTAATGATATTTTTCTAGTACATTGCCTTGTTCTATTCAAGATTCAATGTTATGCATAATAAATCTGAATTTATAATCATAATTTCTTTCAGAAATACTTATCGCAAGCCAAAAGTAGTGGCGGAAGTACTGTAATTCCTTATAATAAGCTTTAAGAAAGTTTCTTTCTTTAATATCTGATAGAGAAAAGAGTGCACTATTTTTCTATGCTATTTGATCATACTGCAATTAATATCATAATAATAAAATTTCGATAAGATCTATTTTCTTCGCATGTGTCATGGTAACATCGACGTTCATTTTAAAAAAGGCGGATGAGTATTTTTTGAATAACCTTTAATAGGAACCATATAGAGCACTGCAGTTTTCACTGTTGGAAGGAGGAGATGAAGACGCATCGAATCATGTATTACAAAGTTTTCTGATTTTTTTTTTTGTAGACTTTTCAATTGGTCGTTTTAAGAACAAACCAATCTGGTAAATAGTTTACAGCGAATTTTCCATTATCAAGTATAGATTCAATCCACTAATCGAAGATCTATAAACTATGGAAAGCTGAGATGGATAATATGTATTTTAGTCGAGCCTCTAATATGATTTTCCAGGGATTTCTATGAAAAAAAAACATTTTTCCGACAGTTAGAAAATTGAATAAAAATACTTTAGGAACCAACATTAGAAAAACCTGTGATACACAATTCAATGTATCTTAATTTCCTCATTTCAATCGTGAAAACCGTGGTCCTCTATCTGGTTTCTATCAAAACTTATTCAAAAAATACTTACTAGCATTCATGCTACCGTGACACATGCGAAGAAAACAAATCTTATCGACGTTTTACTATTATGATATTAATTGAAGTGTGACAAAATAGCATAGAAAAATAGAGCATTCTTTTCTCTATCAGACTACAAAGAAAGAAAGTTTCTTAAAGCTTATTATAAGGAATTACAGTACCTGCACCACTACTTTTAGATTGTCCTTAGTATATAAACAATGAATTCATGTTGAAGATAAATTTGAATAAATCAAAAGAAAAATGCATCGAACGAGTGACCCGTAATCAATGGCGGATTTTTTCTTTTTATCACTTATCACATTTAATGGAAAAAGAAAATTTGTCACTAGATATAAGGTGAAAGTCAATTAAAATTTTTATCTATATATGCATCCTTTGGTTTTAAAAATCGATTAAATTCTGTGCAACTAATTTTCGACCCTGCAAACAAGATCATAGTTTTGTTAAAAGACGAATTCATTTTACAAAATTCATAACTCCGTAATGATTAGAATTTTGATCAAAGCTTTTCATCTTTGATTTAAATGGATAAGGATAACCTTTACTCCTATATTTAGGTTCGTATTGAAAGGTGATATGAATGGTTTCATAAAATACTAG